ATGAACGTATTTTATGTTTCAGATTACGATCGACAACATATTCGATGCGGCAAAGTTTCTCCGAACCCGAGCAGAGTGGCTAAGTTTTCAACAATGAAAAACATTCATATTGGATTAATGAAGAGGTTGGAGAACGTAGAATCACAACATACAATTGATTCGTATATTTTCGAGTTCATATATGGCAGACAGATCCATAAAATATTGGTGAGAAGTGATGGAGTTGGTGATGAGTTGATGATGAATAGTGATAATTGTATGAAATTGTGGAAAAAAACTCGAGATATATAAAATATAATCGATAATCCATCTGGTATTCCTATAAAGATTTCAAGTCATGGGCATTTCTTGAACCTCAGAAGAGAAAATAACGAATATATCACTTCAAAACAATTGTATTGATTGAAGAATGTGTAAGGAAATCATCGACAAACGAGTTTGTTGCCATACAATTGGCAAATGATAGCCCAGAATGATGATTTTTGATTTCTGTAACATGCAATGAATGAGGTGAAGTTAAAATAAGTCAACATATCCTCATCTTTTTTCCGAAGTCGTGAGACACCTTGTATTGTTCAGTAGATTCGACCGGATTGATCATGATACTCTGCTGAAAGAACTTTATTATTTTGTATTATCGATCAAAATAATATCTTTCTTTCGCTCGTATCTACATAAGAGGGAGCAGTATGTTACATATAACGGACATGCGTCTTTGCCATACACAGCCAGCCCTGGAGTTCCTCAAGGATCAAATCTTGGACCCTTACGTTTTCTCTTGTTCATAAATGACTTGTGCGCCGCACTAACGTGTGAGAAGCTAGTATTCGCAGATGAATTGAAAATTTGAATATTACCAGTGATTGGTGCAATTTAAATACACTACAATTGAATGCGACAAAATGTAAAACTGTATCATATAATCGAAAACAGAATCCAGTTCTATATCATTATGTTATAAATGATAGTGATTTGAGTTTTATCGAGCACATAGACAATAAAACTAATGGGGCTCTTAAAATTCTTGGATTCATAATCAGAAGCTGTAGATCATTTACGGATATGCAAGTTATGAAAACATTATACTATTCTTTTGAGGGATCGAAGCTTGAATACGGATCCATGATTTGGAATCCACACCACCAGGTTCATAGTGATAAAGTAGAGAAAGAACAGGGAAAATTCTTGAAATTCCTAATATACAAAGCTACTGGTGTATATCCCCACCTAGGGGACAAAATTATAAGAATACTCTGGAAATTTTTGAATTCAGCAGTCTTGAGCTTCGCAGAATAATGATGTCAATAACATTTTTATACAAAATAGTACAACATGAAATTGATTGTTCACATATAGTTTCAAAAATAAACTTTTATGTTCCACGAATTGGGTCTCGTCAAACTCAAAAATTTTTATGTAGTCGTGCAAATACAAATTTGAAGTCACCTGTAAACATTATGTGTTCGAATGTTAATAAAATATGTAGAGACTGTGAAATCCACCATAGTAGTCTGGGGCAAATTTTGGCATGCGTCAGACAAGCTTACAGGAGGTTTGTAATGAATAATGATACCTGATCATACAGTGTGACCCACTTCTAATGGAACCACCCCTGTATCTTACGTAATCGTTGGGTAAGGATCCTGAAATTTGCTGGAGCGAGAGATATACCAAAAATGCACTCTATGACCGAGTGGGGTCATCTTCAGTGATATACACTGCTCGCCAACAGTCATGAAACTACCCCGATATCCGGAAAATTATATTAGGAGTCACAATAGGTCAAAAATCACTTCAGATTTTTAATCAGGACGCCCAATTTACTAATTATTCGAATTTTTCCTGGAGAATTTTTAGTTCGGAAAAATGAAATATTGTCGCATTTTTTATGGAAGCACACCCGTATCTCACGTAGAGAAATGACAATTTTTATTCAAATTGCTGCGTGCATTGAAGCTAACCGCGGACATCTCCAACAATGAAGTTAATCGTTAGTTTTGTTACTTGTTCTAAAGTTTTAATAGATTTTGTTTAATCGGTAAAAAAAATGTTTCCAAAAATTCACCATGATTTTTAACATAAAAGTAGATAATTCTCAAAAACAGATAACTTTAGAGATCATGACTCATGTATGTTTTTTGTGTAGAAAACATTGAATGTTCGAATGGGCCGTTCGAAACTGTACTTTTTCCAGTGGTGTAGAAGTTGGGGAGAAAATCATCAACTGATCCGTTAAAATGTTCACCAATTATAACTTAAAAACATGCCACACAAAAAATTAGCTCATTATGAGTGGAAAATGCTTATGGAAGCTTCAAAATTTCAACACCCTGTATCTCGAAAATGGTGCATTCCAGAGGGTGAGTAGATGGAAACCTTGTGTCATATATTCAGACAAGCTATCAGATCCTGAAGTTTCGCGCATACAGAGTATACAATTGAAAAAAAAAGTTCCTGTTCTCTTCTTTTGTTCTCATTTTGCGATCCACATTTGTTTGTTCAAGGAGTGCGAGAAGATAGTACGAATGAAACTCTAGCACTCTATCATATCAGCATTGTTGTTCCACCCATGAATAATTGATCAAAGAGAGTGGGGTGGTAGGGGGGGCCATTTGGAATCAAACCAACGGTATATGTTGTTATCAAATTATCGATGGTTCGAAAGTTATTGAATTTTTCTGCAAAATGCAACCCATCTGGGAACATATTGATAACAAAAAGGGTGTTCCGAATGATTCCATATATTATACCATATCGGAATCCGTATCAAAACAATTGGATAACAATTGGATAACGTATACGGTTAGTTTGATTGGGAATTACCTCCTCCTACCACCCCACTCCTTTTGATTCATGACTTATGGGACACCCTGTATACAGTCTGTCCAAGATAAGGTTGAACAGCATGGGGATCTCGAAAACGGTAGGAGATACGAAGTCGGTTAAATGGGGAAAAAGTTGCGCATTCGGAGGCTCATATCAAGAGCCTTCGAAAATTTTTAAAATTATGTCTAGTTTTTTAGTTATATCGAAAAAAGTGAATTTTTGGAATATCTATTTTATTTTTTATCTCCGTTATTATTAGACAAACAGAAAAACTGAAAATACTTTTTCATAGCAACTTTTGATGACTTTTAACGTGGTGATACCAATTTTTTTATACAACGTTTCGTATTCGTAGAACCATCATCAACTTTTGTTTTTTAAACACGGTCCTGATAATTTTTTCACAGATTCTGAAAGTTTTTTTCATTCTGAATTCAACCATGTATTATAAAAGGTTATTTATGTGTGTTTCGACCTATTTTTAACCATCATCAATGTTTTCTCGAAATTCCAAAGGAGAAATGCCACCAGATCCACTCATTTTGAAGGAAAATTAGTCAACACACTAATACCTCATCAACTGGTTTCAATCAACAACCCATTTCATTTCACGGAAACAAAAATTCCATCCATACAAATTCAAATTATGTCAAGCGCTAAAGCCAGGCGATGACGAAAGACGCAGGACATTCTGTGAGTGGTATACCAGGAAATGTCAAAATTTTGCAGATTTCCCGCGAACAATCATCTGGACTGATGAAAGCATGGCCACTAATCACGGTATCTTCGATAGGAAAAATACACATAATTGTTCACGAGAAAATGAACATTTATACATTACAGCGAGACACCAACACCGTTTCGGCTTTAATATGTGGGTTGCAATATTTGGTACACGAATTATTCGTCCTTTTATTCACCATGAAACACAGACTTCCTAACGTTATAGAAATTTGCTTGAGAATCATCTTGAGGAAGCTCTGGATGATTTACCGTTTGCGAAAGTTCAGAACTGTTGGTTTCAACAAGATGGCGCTCCGGTACATAATATCAGACTTCCAGAGAAGTTAATGCGTTTTTATCCAGAAATATGGATTGGTTCTCATTCTGTAGTCCCTTGGCCGGCGCGGTCACCTGATTCGACACAGCTGGATTTTTTTTAGGGGATATATCAAAAACTTTGTACACGCAAATAGCTTCGATGATGAAGAAGAACTAAAGGACAGTGTCATCGAAGCATTCAATAGAATAACCCCCGAAATGCTTAGTAATGTCTTAGAAACAACTGTGAGAAGAGGATATCTTTGTTCAGAAAATATTGGTTATTATTTTGAACATTTGTTATGAATGTTGAATGTTTCTGAAGGTATTGTCAAAGTTAAGTTGTTAAAGTAATTCGTGTAAGAATTCATCAACAATTTTAAGCGCTGCATTGAAAGATGTAGTGAAATATTTTTTATTCACTCTTCAGTATTGAATACCTAATCCATCAATGTTTGACACTGAATGATCAGAAATAAATGGAACTGATGGCATTTTTCCTTTGGTAGTTCGAAAAAACATTGATGATGGATAGAAATAGTTCGAAACACATTCGAATCACCTTGTATAATACATGGTTGAATTCAGAATGAAAAAAACTTTCAGAATCTGTGAAAGAATTATCAGAACCGTATTCAAAAAACAAAAGTTGATGATGGTTCTACGGATACGAAACGTCGCATGAAAAAATCGGTATAACCACGTTAAACTTCATCAGAAGTTGCTATGAAAAAGTATTCTCAGTTTTTCTGTATCTCTAATAATAACGGAGAAAAAAAATAAAATAGATATTCCAAAAATTAACTTTTTTCGATATAACCTAAAAACTAAAAATAATTTCAAAAAATTTCGAAGGCTATTGATATGAGCCTCCGAATGCGCAACTTTTTCCCCATTTAACCGACTTCGTATCTCCTACCGTTTTCGAGATCCCCATGCTGTTCAACCTTATCTTGGACAGACTGTATAGTTGAGGCGTAGATATGGGTAAAAAATAAGGAGACCTTGCACCTGCAAACATTTGGAATCATCTAAAACTCAAAAATCGTTCGTATATATAGGCCATATAGGCTCAGATTGAAGGACTAACTCTTCTCCTGAAGGAAAGGAGAAGCGGGCAAAACTCCTGATAGTTACCCGCGCTCCCGTCCTGCTCTCCAATGGCGCTCTGCGCGTAAAATCAGCCCGGCCGGCAGTACCTTGCGGACCCTTGCGACGACAAAGTCCTGCGAGCGAGACGCGACTCCTGCCTGATCCCACGACGTCCCGCTACGCCTCCGAGGGCGCCGCGACGCGAACTTCTCGGGCGTCGAGACGCGGGATCGGATGTGCCTGTCGGCGATGCGACCGGCAGGAAGTTGTCTGGTGGAAGTTTCGCGGGAGTTTTTCGAGTTGGTGACGGTGTTGGGAAAGTTGGGATTCGCGTCTGGCATGATGTAAGTAGGGTTTATGCGCGAAGAAGTTTGCCTGAGGACACGGTGATAAGTTTTTGGATTGGTTTCAGCATGATATGGATTTTTTGTGGAGTGAATGTAAAATTTTATTTGTTGAATTTAACAGAATTCTGCTGGAAAGAAATGAGCGCATAGAATTGAACTGAAATGAATGAATTTTGAGGAACATGATACTTTCCTCTTGATTTGGTTCTCTTCGAACAACGAGTTGTTTTTCTTAAACACAATGCTCGTTGTAGATACTCAGGTATGTTTCAGTCAGGATTCTTGATCCCACCAACTCGTTTAATTTTCCTGCCGACTAGAGGGCTGAGGGGTTCTTGAAAGCAGCTTAGGAACAATGCATGAAGTACCAATTTTTCGTATGATAATACTGAAGGTACCTTGGAAAATATTCTGAACATATCATGATATTCAACACCAACCAGAAAAATTATGTTGGATGATTTTTGGATTGGGGGGTACTTAATTCAGGTACATTAGTTTTTCACAAAATTTCCTTCGCAGAATGAGTCTGATGAAAATTACTGGATCCAGCGAAATAGATGAAACGGATTGTGAAAATTGGTATAACGGTATTCCAGAGTTAGAAGCCAACTTCCCAGAGGCTGAAGCTCATGCGGCGTTGAAAAGAGCAGAGCCTACAGCTCACATTAGAAATCGAACCAATTGTAGGGTGCAGATATTTTCACAGGAATATAACAATGGACAAATCACATTCACACCATATCTGGCAGTGTGAAAGGTGATATAGCAAATGGAATGCATAGACCGCATGGCCACAGTTACCTTTATAGCGAGGGGTAAACCACGGTGAAATTCTGGTGTACCAACACATGGAATTCCTTGGAGTTCCTTGGATTTCCTTGGAATTCCATGGATTCGATCACTTCCGAGATCTTGACCATCCTTTTCATATGAGGTTCTAAGGGTTACATCTACACCTCCTAGGGGGTTGAACTGAGAGGGCTGAAACTAATCATTTCAAGTGTCCCCCTTGAAAATAAAATCGACCTGTTATTTCGATATCTCATATTATTCTTTGAGAGGTAGATATTGAGGTTGGAGAGAAATATATGGGTATCTGTTTGATTATAATTGCACGAATGTAATTCATTAGAATATTCCACGAATAAAAAAAATCTCGATAGATTGTATGAAGCGCTCACCAAAACGCAATTTTTTTTTTCAATTTTTCAAACCGTTCTGACAATTTCTATTCGCTCTGGCAGTGCAATGGGCCTCCATGAGTGGAACATTTTATTTCATTATTTTGAAGTACTAACCCTAACTAGTTAACTGTCTCTAAATGTTTCAGAGGTCTGTTCTGAAACGCGTGACGTTATCATCCGAAAACATTCTATATACACATCTATTCTCCTTGTCTGTCAGACAAGTGCAAGCATATTTCTGATTGTCATTTCAACCAAAATATGGAAAAAGTTCGTCTCCTTGGAAGGTGCTTGTTCTAGAGTCTATCAAATTTTCTGGACAATACGTCTACTGCAGATAACAGAGAACCCAACACACAACTAAAGAATCAGATAATAAGAAGAATATCTTTGAATATCCGAATCTGGACTAGATGCAACAAGGATTTGAAGATGAAGGTGATGTTAGGAAGTTAGGTTGACAATGTAGTTCGTCTTCTTGTATTTCTGGGTACTCTAGGCATTACGCGGTTGCCAAGGTCACAAAATAATTTGGTTTAAATACAATCATTATTAGGAATACAATACACTTTATACACGGAATTATCAATATGATATATGCTCGTGGCGTGAATTCGACTAGTGTGTATTACCGCTGCTAGATTCCGATAATTGCATTGCTCTTATGGGATATTTCATATATGAAGGCAATATTCATTTTCGAAAGATTATCGAATATCATTGAAAAACTAATCATATGTAATCATCAAACCACTATGAGCATTTTTTCATTCTCATGTGAGTTTTTTCACAGTTATATGATTTATTTGAAGAAAAAAGAACTTGATCATATAGGTAAGGTGAAAAAGGACCAATGCTGGCGCCCATTCAGTTCAGGAATCAAACCCAAATAACAGCTTATTGATATTTTCTTGGGTGCGTCGATCTTATTTTATGCATCTGTTGAAATCATCATCATCTGGTTATATTTTCAAATACTTTTATGATTAATTGAGTTTTCAATACCCAAATCATCTTTTCCATCGTTAATTAATTTCTTCTCAAAAGTCTCTGCGTAGAGTGAAATACAGATAAGTATATATATATATATAAGTTAACTCATTTTATTTAATCCAAACATTTTTTCTTTTACCTCTCCTCGTCTGCCGATATAATTTACTTGATTCAAGTCGAAAAGGGTCTTTGTGAAAGAGTTTGATCACTCGAAGCGATAAACTTGAAAGAAGTGGCGTAAAGATATAAAGCTACCTAACTTGAAAAAAAACTTAGGTTTCAACACTGGAGTTAAAAAAATGAATCGAGGTAGATTTAGACCTAAGTTATTCATGATGAGTAGAGTGATAAGAAGGAACTGGAGAAATTCAATTCAGATTCATGATGATGAGAAAGATAGACTGAAACGAATACAGAAATGAATTGGAGAACGTATTTTCCATTTTCGTCGACTTCTACAAATAGTTAGTAGCAGCAGAGTAGTAGATTGACTACCGGGGCTGATAGTCCATCCATTCATGATAAGAATCCAGCCAAGGCGCAGTCAATCTACATTTCCTTTCGTGTGGAACATATAAACTTTCTCCAAATGTTATAAAACCAATTTTGTGTAATTATTTCATTGAGGACTCATTTTGTGTTCATCAAATGTCAGTGTCAATTTTGATATAGAATCTCATTCAGATTACTTGAAACGTAACATAATAACAAATTTTCGCTGCCTAGGCAGAGGAAGTACACTTTTTATGCCACTTGAAAAAAACATTTCACGTACTCATTTCTGAATAAAGAATCGAATATTTTCGAAGGCGAATCATACGTTGAGTAATACTTCTCATTCCAGTCACATCTGTTGCTTCAACTTCAATGATGTTGAAAAAATTACTCATCAAGTTTCAATACTTTGAGGATATAAAATTCATCATGAACTGAGTTTCAAATGGACCTTACCTAACTCAAAAAGAACAAAACAAACTTCTTCATAATTTTGTTCTCTTCAGAGCTCCTATGTAACCTAACGCTGATGATAAAGCTCTGAAGCTTCGAAACATGTTTCTTTGGATTGCTTAAATGGAAGTATAGTTCTGGTGGAGTGGACTGTATGAATTTTGCCCTGTCCGATCGCTTTCAGTTCACTGTGAGATGGATCGCCTCAGATGGTTTTTCATCCTTGTTCTCCCTTTAATATCTGTGTCAAATCAGTGGAGTAAAATTCACCTACTGATACTGTGAAGTTATAAGAGTCAACTTGACATCCAAAACTTTTGTATATTCAAACAACAGCTACCGAACAGAATATACATAACTCAACAAATTGAAGTCTACTCCGCAGAGTACGTATCCAAATTCACCTCTGATCCTGATTTCCATTCCTCTGATTGACCACAACAAATTCATCGCGATGAGACATAAATCATCTCATGACAAAATTGTGAAATACAAAAGGTAGGTATCTTCATTCGATTGCAATCAGAACTTTTTATCAGCTCGCACATCTTCTCAAATTCGTAACCAATACATCACCTACACTGACAACTCCTAAAGATCCCAAACGGTTCTTGGCCAACTTCGATGGTATATGCCTTCACAACTCGCAACTTTTCCCCGCACAATCCGCAGTTTCTCTGACGGAATCAATTCCCTTGTTGAAGGGCTCTGGGGATTTCCCAGCTATCAGTATTTCATCAAACAGCCACAAGGATAATGGATTCGTGTGAGGAGAGAAGCAAATCGATAGTTGATGGAGAATTAGTATTCGGAATAGCTTCCTGATATCGCATCATACAGTTGACTTCAAGTTTCTATTTTACTATGGGCTTGAATTCTTGTATGTTATACAACAAGTGTATTGATGATTATGGAAAAAGAGGAGGAATATACATCGAATGCTGCCTGTTAGTTGAGAAGCACCTAGAGTCAGAACGCACCAAATATTGTCCCTCATCTTGCCAGAGGCCGGAAATATCCGGAAATATTTTGTATATTTATTTATTCATTTATTTATTATCAATACATCCAGCAAGCTAACGCCCATTTGGAGGTGTATGTAATTATACCGTTTATTGATATGCGTAAGCGTAATATATCAATCAACGATTATACATAGATATTAGGTGGATCGCTAAAAATAAATACCTATATCTATACACAATTTGGAAAGAATATAAACTAACATAGATATGTTACAATTTTTTCCTAATGCACTGCATATTTCATGCTTGAATTGGGACAATGGAAGAAAAAATATACTTTGTGAATTGTTGTAACTTCGGTATATTGTTGTGAGGGGACAATAGTAGTGATGTTGTATGTTAGGCACAGCAATGCGGAACGTTATATCTGATCTCGACACAGTTCGTGGTACATTGAGATCAGAGAAATTAATGAGGATTTTGCTATTTTCTAGGAGAAAATAGATTGAATTCGTTCAGCAATAGGTCATAGCTATAGTGTCTTTGAGGATACAAGCTATATTTTTTATAGTATGCTTATTTCAAAACTTCCTATGCACTGATTCAATGGCTTCAGTATATTTGGAATGAAATGGATTCCATAAGACATTGCAGTAATCTTATTTACTCCTCACGAATGAGAAGTAGATACAGCGCAATGCATCAAATGATTTGAATTTCTTACAGGTACGGATTGAAACTCCCCTATTACACTTTCTATATGAGTGGAGACTCAACTTCTGATCGAAAAGAACTCCTAAATCTTTGACTTGTTGAACTCGTGCTAGTTGTGAAGTATCCAAGTGATGATCGAATGAAATCGGGGTGGACTTTCGTGTGAAAGTCATGACTTCACATTCATTGGTATTCAAGAGAGTTCATTTTGGAGGCACCAA